CAGTATTATTCTTGGCATCCATTTATGTTCTCGCTCCATTTAATGTTCCACTAATAAGGAGAGACAGGGCTAAACCAGATTAATGAAACTTGTCATCACATTCCATAAGACCGTGCTTCTAGACTGTGGGGAGGGGGGGGGAGGATGACAGCCATTGAACTCAACAGCGGGAGCCCAGACAAAGGGCAAAAATCAGGTCTTTTGTTTCAAGGTGAAAATCTACGCATACACCTTTGAAGTTGGTGCTGCTGTCCACAGAGCACTTTAAGGCGAAGTCTGTGTCCCTGTCCCTGTTCTTCCTTCTTTTGCACCAAGCTCTTATGTCCCACTAGAAATGTGAAACAGTGATCCAGACATATCTAAGTCTGGAGATTCGATTTCAAGAGAAGAGATTACTTTCTGCTAAAGCAGACGTTTCCCATCGAAATGTATGCCTGGACCAGGCTATTTGCATATTTTAATGAGGCGCGTGTTTTGAAGAGACAGCCTTCGTAATGGAAGCTGAGATTCGTTAGGCTGATAACATGAGGCCTGGAGCTCAGAAGCCGAGCTGTTGGCTGGGTGGTGACAGAGACAGGGAGAGAGAAGGAACACAAAGAGATGCAGACTAAGATAAAAGGCCCTTCCTAAACGTTTTGGTAAGCACAGATCTGGCTGATATATGCTAACCCTGAGCCCTCCCGGTTTAAGCTTTTTAGTGCCACTTTCCCCTGTTCCTAAGTGCCAAGATTCTCCCTTCCCCCTATGAATCTTTGTTTCTGAGAACTCGCAATGAAGTAAAGTTGGGGCAGCAAACTTATTTGGAAGGATGATTAAATCTCTCTGCAATACTTTGGATCCATTGTACACATTTACTACAGTGTGCAGAGGGATTTTTGTTTATATTAATAGGAGAATGAGGCCTTAGTGTGGTACCTAAACTTTCAGCTATTATCTTTTCCCCAAGTCCTTTGTGATCGTATTTGCCATTCAAGGGAGAAAATATGCTTCCCATTGGGTTCATCACTATTCCTCTCCCAAAACTGCCATTGTGTTTTTTCCCCCTTCCTTGCAGTATTTCCTAGCTGGATGGGTTTCAGGCCTGCCCTCTCCCTTGCTCCAGTTTCTGAAATCAATGAAACAGCTGAAATTGCATTAGTGGGCTTTTGAGATAACATGCATGCAAGGCTACAATAAAACTCACCTGATGCAAATCTCAATTAACTACACCCTGATTCTTTGGCTAATTTGTTCTGTCATGATAAAGCAGGCTGAACACACGCATACACATCGTGTGGTGAGATTTTGTACATACCACCATCTGGAGAATTTTAGTTTTCTATCAGTTTCCAGGTTTTGGAACTACTATCTCTCACCATGCTTAGGAGGACTGTGGAGGGGAGGGGGGAGCTTACTGTGCCAAGATAGCAGAGAAAAGTGCAGTTGTAGCTACTTAAGCAGATCAAAAATAAACTGAGCCTGGATAGCCACATTTGTGTATTTTTAGTCCAATGGGCTAATGCCACTCTAACCTGTTGTGAGCTTTGTCTGCTGAGAAAGCAGCTTCCCAGATGTCCCCCCTTTTTCTGTTTGTTTCTTCCCACTGGCCACTCTGCCCATTATGCCTACCCTGAACACTCAGTCAGTGCAGTCTTGTGGGAGCATCTCCTCAATGAAATCTGTGAGAAAACTAAAGCATCCCTCACCCCTGGAACTCCAAAGAGATCAAAGCTCAACTCAAGCACAGCTTCTGGTCTCCCCTGCTTTCCAACTGGTCTGTGGGGAGGGGCTGGGAGCCCGAGGAAAGTCCTTGTACAGTCCCAGATCTCAGTGCTTGTACAGTCCCAGAAATTGTTGTTGTTTGCAGGTTTCTACACTCTCCAGTGAAGTCTCTCAGCATCTTCCCACTCAGAAGGCCATAATTTAACTAACAGACCTAGCCTCAGAAAATATCAAGGAGAAGTTAACATCCGTGTCACACTTGGGTGCACATCTGGTTGTTTTCATGTCTACTTGGTGAAAAAGAAATGAGTGGCTAATGTCAGATTAGATTGATAACCATGATAATTGTGCTTGCCTTTATCTCAGTGGTGGCAAAAAAAAAAAACCCGGGCAGTTGGGTCACAAGTCAAGTCCAAAATATGAGAATACTTCTGTGATACTTAAGGTAGCACATATGCACACACTCCCATACTTTGGAGACGTTTTGCCTCTAGATCTAAGGAGCAACAGAAGAGGCAGGTGAAATGTGAGGCTGTGCTAAAGTTAGGCCCCTGCACAGCATAAATGCCTGCAGCCTGTACCTTTGGCACCTTTACTGCAGCTCGACTAGCCATGCTTCAGCTAAGTACCTGATTTTCTCAGTGCTCCTGATATGCCCCAAGCAACCAAAAAAAGACTTATATTGTAATGATCAGACAGCAGCAGCCAATGTGCAACCCACTTTTAGATACCCTTTCCACTTGTAGGCACTTCACTGACCACAGAGTAGCATGATTGGGTAAATGAGACCAATATGTTGAAAGATGTTACATTTGGAAAATTCTCTGAGTGTACATAAGCATTATAAATTAAGGTGTTTCAGGGACATATCCTCTGCTGAAACACCTACCTCTCGCAAGATATTTATTTGCCTGCAACAATAAAGTTCTATCACAGATGAATTCAGCCCACAGTTGGGGACTTGCCCACTGATGTTTCAATACCAACATAACTTTAAATGCCCCTTCCTTCCATCTGGCTTCCCTCTCTCTTCCTCCCAACATGGCAAGGCTCCAAGCAGCAGCTTCCCTGATTAATGCTGATATCTGGGGACTTGCTGCTACTGACAGCAGCTTCCTAGATCCCCAGCACACCTGCCTTGCTGGCATCAATTGAAACACAGCAGCCCACTTGCTTGGCTTTCTTCAGGGTTTTACGGTAAGCTATGGAAACAGATTGGGGGGGGGGGTAAATGGCAACACATGACCTGTGCTCTTACATAAGCTGAGAGTTGCTTAGGATTTCAGTCTTCAAGCACTTTTAGCTCTTGCTTTTTTGTTTTGTTTTTGGAAGAGTACTGCCTTCAGAGCCAGGATGGTCACAAGCAAACAATGAGCCCAGGTTCACAGCTGGCCCTATCCCCCTGGCTTCACTGAAGTCACACCAGAATCCATGGCCTGCGTCTTTTAGAGAGAGCAGCCTGCTGTCTTACAGAGTGCTAGCTGTGACTTGGTCATAACCTGATCGCGCGCCATGCCAGCTGGGGCCAAAGAGAGACAATGTCCAACATCTCACAATGCATTCACTCACCACAAGTTACTCTGAGGGTCCTTCTCCAAGGCAACTGTATCAAATGGAGATTCTTATGTAATCAGTACTGCATCACACTACACGTTTCCCGAGAGCATCCTATGTGAGCATTGCCTCTGGTCACTAATAACATAAAAGCTAGAATCAAAAGTGAGTGTGAGTGGATATTTACCTTGTAACATGTTGAGGATAGGGGGGGGGGGGGAGTCAAAGATCTGTGCAGTTAAGGGCCGACAATGGTAAAGGCTAACCTCGGTCTTTCCTGCCCTCTCATTCTTGCATCTAACAAAGAATCATAAAATACAGGCTCTTCTCCAGTATGGGGAAAGACGAACAGTAAGGAGGAGACATGTTACCAAGTCCATCTGCAGAGTAGATGTTAGTATTGGAAAGCCCTTGGCCACCCAATTGACCCCATAGCTCTAAAGGTCAGAGATCCATGAAGAACAGCAGGACTCTGCATCAGCTTAGATCCAAACTGCATCCTAGAAGCAAAGGGCACCCCACAAGAAATAAATCCCCTTATGAGGGAGATCTTCTCAACTCTTCCATACCCCAGCACAAGCCTTTAAGGCCAGAGAAGTTAGGAGGGATATAGGAGGGATTAAAGAAGTTACAGCAGGAGAAGAAAGGGAAAGGGAATCCCCAAAGGTTCCTAGAGAAGCTTATAAATTTACCACAGGTCCAGATTTATTTGAAAGCAATTATTATTGGGGCTAAAGCTGAATTTATTTATTTTTTTGTGGGGGGAGGGAATGTTGGATTACATATGTATGTTTGAAGACACAGTGAACTCCAGCGGGATCAATTCGATCAAGCATCATCATGTGCATGACCAGATAAAACTATATCCATCTCAAAGAGTCAACCTGAGGTGAATTCTCTATATAAAAATGGTAATGTGAAAAGGTTCCAACCTAAGAGGTTAGCAGTACAGTTCCAAACCATTCTAAATCCATTTAAGTGAATGGATTTAGGAAGGGTATAACTCTGTTTAGGAAATATGAAATATGAGATACTCAAAGAAAAGGAGAACTTACAGAAATGTGAGGAAAGGCCTTTTTTCTGCATTCTTCTTGTGGTTCCATATGTATTGATTATATTATTTGCCACTTTTGAATGATTTCAGGACAGCACATATGCAACCATTTCATTTCATCTTCACAACAAGCATGTGAACTAGGTTAGGAAGATAAACAGTGACTTGCTCGTGGCATTCCAAGTGATCTTCATGGCTGAATTCTCATTTGCCAGGCCTAAGACACTCTACTGAATTCAGTACACCATAGGTCTATCTATGGTGGATGAGAAATGTCATGAAGTCACAGCTGACTTACGATAACCCTGTAGGGTTTTCAAGGCAAGAGACATTCAGAGGTGGTTGGCCATTGCCTGCCTCTGCCTAGTGACCCTGGACTTCCTTGATGGTCTCCCATCCAAGCACTGACCAGGGCTGACCCTGCTTAGCTTCCAAGCTCTAGATAAGATTGGGCTAGCCTGGGCCATCGAGGCCCTCGTGAATAATTTTATCATTGGTTAAATAGGATTCCTTTTGCTCTAGAATCCCACAATAAGCATTTTGAGAGTGAGCTTGGGAATAACCACACGTCCCTTTGCCTCTGAGAGATGAGGATGGCTCTAGGTCAATGCAGAGTTTCACTGGCCAAGCAATCAGATACAGGCACGCAGTAGAACTGTGGGAAGCTTTGGCTGGCCAAAAAACGACTTACACTGCACATCTACTCGAATGGACTTGATGGCAGGGGACCCAACCCCATTCTCTGCTTTACAATAATAGCGGCCCCCCTGCAGCCTCTGGATCTTCTCAATCCGAAGTGTCTCATTAAACACCGATGTCTCTTGGAATTTGTCCGAGGCGCTGCCGGCAGTTTTGGTCCACCTCACCTAGAGGAGGGGAATGAGAAAGACAGAGATGAAGAGAGAGAGAAAGCACAGTGGTAGGACACAGACAGACTTAGAACTGGCCTGAGGCTTTGGCCAGACACAGTAAACTCTTACCGGTTCTCGTCTGGGGTTTCCCATGCAATCTGCCAGCAATATACTTCATGGCTTATGGATTTTTTAAAAACTGACCCAAATATGTTCCTGCCATGGCATGGGCTTCATCCAGAAACTAAGAAGTGTTCTTCAGAGTTCCCAAAGATGTTTGCCATGGGCAATAAATCATGCCATGTTGCTCTCAGCTAACATACAATGCCCTGTCTTGCCACTATGATATGTCCCATCAACCAAACACTGTGCATCAGCCAAAAGGGTAGTGCAAGGCTAATTGGGCTTTCCAGCTCCAATCTTGGAGGGTGTGAAGTGACTGGTAAAGAGGCTCCCAACTACAAAGCTTTCATCACACTTCAGTCAGTGCTTTTTCATCTTGCTGCCTTTTTGGACACTGCGAATATTTAATCTGTTAAACTTCAGAAGGAAGAGATGCAGAAATTGTTGCTCCCCTGTAGATTCCCTTTCTCTTCCCTTGTGTATTTTGGCTCTAGGGTTGCATGCTTGCATGTGAATGTATGTGAAGGAAGGCAGTCCTCTGAATTCTTATTTGTTTTTCCCAAGGTTTTCAAGGTGATTTGTTCATGGAACAAATAAGTGAATAGCAAGATTATGAAAAAACAAAACAAAAAAAGCTGAACCTATGAAATATCATGGAGAAAGGAACAGTGCACACTGCATTTGCTCCGGATTCCTTTATCTTGCAAAGGCTTGCCTTTGCATCCCAGATGCATAAACACCAGCAGGCAGGAAGGGGGGGGTCCACTGGAAGAGAGATGTAAAATAAGGGGTGGGGGAGGGGGGATACAGAGGCACCAAGCATGGAAAGGGTGGAATAAGGTTGCTGGGCAGGCCAGCTACAAGACGTTGCCTCCTGCTTCCACTGGAGCTGATAGCAAAATGGACATCTATGATTGAAACACTGCTGGGAAGGTAGACTGATACCCACAGCACTAGTCAAAAGCTTTTTTTTTTAATTGACTCATGACTATACACAAGTCTGAGCAATCTGGATGTTATGAAAGCTTGGAAACATAGAAAAGTACTAAGCATTAAGCAGGGGGTTGCATCTTAGGGTTATAGAGCCAAATGTGGCTCAGTATAGAACCAAATATGGCTCTTTAAAAAGAAAATGAAATTTTGAAGTTAAGGCATATTGCAAGTGTAGGTGGGATGTTAGAATAAGCAGTACATGAAAGGAATGGCAGGGGAAAAATTTACAGGACTGAAGGGTTTCTTTGAGATGCTTTACAGAAAGGGACATGGTAGAAGAGAACAGTTGCCACTAAACCAAGGGTGAACCATCCACAGATTTATGCCAGTGCACGAAAACCATCATGCAACATGCTCCTGTATACTTTTGTTACTTATTGTGTGCCACTCTTATTAATCCACGTATCAATTTATCAGTAATATTAAGTGTATTTTCATTTATGCAAATAGGTTTTCTTATACTGGCTATTTGTTAATCCCTTTGACAGAGGCTGGCTTTTTGAGGACAAAAGGTTTCTGAACCTGCTGTACAGAAAAGTACTGAGGCTGCAAATCCAGTGCTATGTATACTTCTTGGGTATAAGCATGCATTGAAAGTGGTTTTGTCTTCTCAGTAAACATATGTGGGATCAGACTGTTAGCTTGTTTGGTTTATTTTCCTCACAAAATTTATTTCAAAGCATAGGACTAAAGGCTGTGGTAGAAAATGAGATGGAATCTAAGATATTGGGGATTCATAAAATATATGAGGCAGGACACCAAAGCAGGGGTCATTTGGGGGGGACGCGGGGGGACGCCATCCCCCCGGGTGAGGTGCGGGAGGGCGGGGCCTGGAGCTCCCTGCCGGTGCCCGCTGGAGGTCGCCGCTGGCTGTGGGGAGGACACACTTCCGGTGATGTCAGGGGGTGTGGCATATGCTAATGAGTTATGCTAATGAGTCCCCCTAGCTCTTTTTCTACGAAATGACCCCTGCACCAAAGAATAGTGGTTGTTTGAGTGTAGAACTCTTTCTCCTTTGCCGCTCAAATCTCATATGTACCCCTCTAATTTCCAAATCTCTATCAGACACTTTGTTCACATTTCAGGCATTGTTTCCTGTAGACATAAGGACAAAATATGTTCTCACGTTTTATTTTTTCCCCCTCTCTCACAGCTGATAAGAATCTCATGAGTTTAAGTAAATGTCAGCTTTGCCATTCAAACAGCAAATTATGTTCTATACGATGCAGTCATAACCACATAACTCTCTACATCCCTGCCCATGGCATGTCTACCGTACAAGGACAGACCCCGATCCACCCATTCACCTCTAAGCATATCCATTATGCTAGTGCAAAATACAGAACCTGCAGCTCATGACCATGATGACTGGAAAAATCCAGCTTCCATGGCACATTTCCCTCTCCTAAGCCCTCTGCAGGAATTATGTTCTGTTTGATTCACATAAACCAGGAGCCTGCCAGCCATGTGTATTGGAAGTGCAACATGCACGGCTGCTAATCTTGGGTGAATCATGCAGTGTGTGGATTTTCCATAAAAGTACAACTTCCATTCACATGAACCAGAACCACAAATGGAAGTTGTATTACATGGAAAATCCACATATCACCCAGTTCACACAAGATGTTCTTGATTATGTGTAGCTGGTAGGCTTCCAGTTTGCATGCACAGAACAGAATGCGATGTCTGCAGTTGCAAGCAAAGGCCTGAAGAAGAGAGATCAGCATTTGCTGAAATCACAAACCTCTAGGGTTGCCAGGTCTGAGTTGGAAAACACCTGGAGACTTTGGGGGTGGAGCCAGGAGAGGGCGGGCTTTGGGGAGAGGAGAGGCCTCAGCATGGTACAATGCCATACAGTCAGGGCCAGCTCACCCACTAGGCGAACTAGGCATTCACCTAGAGCGCTGGGCCCTGGATGGGGCGGCAGGCCCTGGATGGGGCGCCAAAGTTTGCCTCCCCCCAAAAAGCCCGTGCGTGAACTTTGCCGATGCCACTACTTTCCCCTGCTCCGCCGCCGAAGCAGCCATGTCCCCAGCCAGCCAGCCCCGCATCCCCCGCCCCTGAGCGCTGCCGGCTGCTGCAGCAGCTTCCCCGCAGCCGGGCAGGGGCAGGGGAGAGTCGGCCTGGCCCTTCTGGGTGACTTCTCTGCCTGGCTGGATGCGGGACTGCGCTGATCTGGAGAGACCTGCTGGGCCCGTCCCTCCTCCCAGGGCACTCCCTTTGGCCGCTTTCCACCTCGGGAACAGGACGAGGCTTTGGCGGGGGGAAGGCACCGAGGCCGAAAAGCGCCCCAGCCAGAGGCTTGCTGTGCTTGCCCCAAGATAATAGGCTTTCATGAGTAGGACTGGGCAGAGAGCCACATTCGCTGAAGGAAACGCATGGGGCCACTGCCCGGGTTGGAACCTTGCAATCTGACCGGCGCTAGGGCCTCCCCGCCCATTCAGTGCCATCCTCGGGATGGCTGCAAAAGCAAAAGTTGCAAGGCAAGCAGCCGCCCCTCCCCTCCCGAAGGGCTGCCTTGGAGGAGGTGGCCCGGCGACGCCCTCCCGCTCACCAGCTGACCTTCCTTCCTCTGCCTGCAATCCAGCTCAGTCAGCTGACGCTCCGGCCTTGGCTTCTCCGCGACTCCTTTCTCTGCATGGCAGCCAATGAGGAGGAGGCGGAGAGATGCTGTGCAGAGGAATGAGCAGCCAGGCCAAGGCGGCCACAACGGAGATCCAGGAGCTAGTGCAAGCGGTGAACCCAGATTTGGCCAGGCCGGCTGCAGGAAAGCAGCGATGCCCGCAGGGTGAGAGGGGAGGCTGGGATGGCAGCCATCCGCTCCACCTCCGGAGAAGGATGTGTGATTGCCTTTAAGCCCCTTCCACACATGCAAAAGGTTGGGGGGGGTAGGATGGGCTGAACTGCTTCAGTTGGGGAGGCGAGAATGATCTTTGTGGAAGTTCCCCTCGCGGAAGACACGTGCCCCCTAAATGGAGGGGAAAGGGGGTATAGCGTGCACACAGGGTTGCCAACAGTTCTTAAGGGGGGAAAATGACTTGTCTCTTTAATTGCAATTTTCGTGGCCTGGAGGTCAGGAAGGGTCACCTGGTGAACGACAGCCCCTTAAGGCTGTACTGAAAAGGCAGGGCTTGAGGAGCTGGTTTTATGCAGGCAGGGAGAAGTCCTGGGAGCGAAAATTCTCCTTGGTGAGCTGCTGGCATGAAAGTGGTAAGTGGGCAATTCAGCTGCGGCAGGAAGCTATCCCAGAGCATCTTTTACTCCTCATGGGAGTAAGTTACCAGCAGAGGTCATTTCGGGGGGGGACGCGGGGGATCGCAGTTCTCCCGGGTGAGGTACGGGGGGTGGGGCACATGACGAAGCCCCGCCCCCTGCTTCCGGCTGCCCCACTTCCGGCCCTCATTCAGCCAGGATGAGGCAGGAAAAGAGGGAGGGTAAGTTGCTTCCTCCCTGCCTCTCCCCACCCCTGCCTGCCTGGGGCCAGGGAGGGTGTGGCCTTATGACACATTTCCGGTGATGTCAGGGGGTGTGGCCTTATGACACACTTCCGGTGATGTTAGGGGGTGTGGCATATGCTAATGAGTTATGCTAATGAGTCACCCTAGCTCTTTTTCTACGAAATGACCCCTGGTTACCAGTAGCTGAACACATACACACACACACGCCAAGAAGGGCAAAAGCAGTTCCCAGTGGAGGCTTTTGTAGTAAGAAATGACACAGGAAGAGACATTATTAAAGTTTCCCGCTCTCCCCAAGCAGTTTTCCTCCTTCACAGGATTTCTGCTCTGCCGTGATTATGGTGAACCTTCATACAGAACAGGGCTGTCCAGCCTTCAGCTATAGCAGGAGGCCTCCCACTAGCAGCCCTCGCTGTCTGCTGCTGCTCTGAGAAGTGCAAGGGAAAAGGGGTGGCATCATTTGCACTGCCATGCCACTTCCAGGGAAAACCAAGACGTGACTTTGAGTAGTTCTAGGAAGCACTGGAAACTGGCAGTGGGTGGTAGGCCTCCTGCCAAAATGGGAGGACATGGGGAGTTGGCTGGTGGGACTTCTGCCTTAGTCTATAATTATATATCATACATTCCCTCTCAGTGAAATAATCCAAGGAAACACGTAATAGTCCCATTTTACAGATGATTCGTTGGATATAAAGTTAATGGCTTGCTAAAGGCCAGCAAGGCCTATATCGGACAGTAGGGAATTGGACTAGGGTTTACCCTGTGTGCTGAGAATAAGGCAGATAACATTATTACTACCACAAGGCATCAACCTTAATCAGATCCTCTCCCTGCCTAATGGCTTCTACCAGCTACGGTGGTGTGCAGATAGTATTCTGTGAAGATGAGATGATAGGATTCTACGGCCTCCGCCCAGTGCTTCCATACTATTCAGAGCTAATGGCTGCCCATGAGGGATTTATTTAGCCTTTGTCCTCTCATTAGGAGCCTGAAGCCTCTCAAAGAGCATTCTGTTTGCATGGCTGCTTCAGTCAGTTCTTTAATCTTTCCTCAGCTTTTTTCATTTTAGCCTCATTTATTTAGTTTGACCACATTTTGGAGCTTTAACAACTAACTGAGACAAGAGAGAAGATTAAACAAAGGTTAAGAGATAAAGCTTTGATTTAGACAAGCAAGAGAATAGAGACTCTGTGTGTGTGTATGTGTGTGTGCATGCACACATGTGAAAGAGTATATTATTGTAATTTCAAAACTACCCATAGACCAGTATTGAGGTTGCGCCAAAACTGCCCATCTAGGGGGTGGGGTGGAGAAATATATGAAGAAAAAATTGCTAGTAGATATATTTTCAAGGAATGAAAACTTAGTTTGGATTGGAATGAAAACTATGCAAAATGCCAAAGAAACCCAAGGAGATAAGTGATGGAACAGAGACAAAACTGAGAGGGGCAGAGGTCAGGGAACAATGTTCACTGGATGCATAATTTCCTTTTTCCTATGCCTGTGTACATGTTCATGTTATAAACTCTTCTTGCACCTATGGTTTATCTGTGCTCTTCCATAATAGAAGAAACTCTCCCCCCCGCCAAGTGTTCTGCCTCTATGGCATGAAGGTATGTATAGTTGTGCTCTAAGCAGAATGTGCATGTTAATTCAGCATAGCTATTATTCTCATGTGCCCGGCTTGCTTACATATGCAGGTGGTGTAAACAAACTGATATCCAGACTCCAGGATCCTCCATATGGTTTATTCTATCTCACCTGCCCTAGGAAACCCAGAAACAACTTGTTAAAAGCTGTAATGTCTAGTTTAAACTTCTGTCATGGCTAATTTGGCCCTTTCATATTTATTTGTTTCATTGATACCCTATTTTTCTCCACAATGGGGACCCAAAGTGGCTTACAACGTTCTACCCTCCTCCATGTTATGCTCACAACAGCCCTGTGAGTTAGGTTAGGGCAAGAGTATGTGACCTGCCCAAGGACACCCAGAGTGAGGGAAAGAGCTGGTTGCCTCTTCCATGGCAAAGCAGAGATTTGAACCTGAGTCTCCCAGGTCTTAGGTTAGTGCTGTAACCACCACATTATGCTGGCTTCTTCAGTTCTTGTGACTACAGCCTTAATATTTTTACTTGTAATGTACCATCTAAATAAGGAGCTGCGGTGGCTCAAGTGGTTAAGATGCTGAACTGCAGGCTGTGGAAGGTCAGTAGTTCAGCAGTTCGAGACCCGAGTGTGCCGCATGATGGAGTGAGCTCCCGTCTCTAGTTCCAGCTCCTGCCAACCTAGCAGTTCGAAAGCAAGAAATTGCAAGTAGATAAATAGGTACCACTTCAGTGGGAAGGTAACAGCATTCCGTGCGCCTTGGTGTTTAGTCATGCCGGCCACATGTCCACGGAAACGTATTCGGACAGCACTGGCTCTTCGGCTTGGAAACGGAGATGAGCACCGCAACCCTAGAGTCGGACTCGACTGGCTTTCGAGCAAGGGAAACCTTTACCTTACCATCTAAATAAATTTAAATACAAAAATTTGTGCTCTGGTTTCTTTGGTTTTGTTTTCCTCATGGCCAGGCATAAACATCCAGGTTAAATAACTTGATAAAAATGGCCTGGGATACATTCAGGATTTTGAGAAAGTTTCCATATATGTGCTTGGGAAGAAAGGGAAACTATCTGCGACTTTTACCTTACCTTAATCACTATGGCTTTGAAGAAGAAACTAATCATTGAGTGATCTTATGAATGTTCCCTTGGAGACAGTCTGAACCAAATTTGTTAAGGGACAACCGCTCTACATTAACTGGCCTTTAGAACAAGCCCTAATGCACAGAGGTCATAATATATGGTCATTTTTGTGACAACAGGAGTGCAGGGAGGGTATTTAACTCAGATTAATAAGGGACTAGAAAACACCATCTTGAGGACACTTCATATTATGATCTGGCAGAAGGGAATGGGTGTTTGCAAGACAAATAGCTCTCAAAACTTGACCTTTAAGGCCTGGACTGCTCTTTTTTTCATTTGGTGTGTCCTATATCCTACATCAAATAGTTTCTTTTCTGTGAATCCATGCCATGGAGAAATTAGATGCTGACAGCCAATGCACTTCAACTTGTGTGAGTAGTGAGGCTATGGAAGAGGATATGAAAGGAGTAGCAGGAGGTGCTATGGCTTTTCCCTGCCTTTAATATACCCCGTTCCCTGGAGGCTCCTGTTCACATCATAACATGAACTTCAGGTGCCATTTCGGCAGTCACTGTTGGACTTTTAGAGATGGTGTTCCCAAGTGGAGAGTTTTGTCTGCACATTTCACCTGCTTTGTTAAGGAACATCTCTCACCCCTGTACCGTGGGACTCCTTAAATGTCCGCAACTCAGCATCCACTGGCAGTTTTGTGGTGGCCACTCTGGCAAATGAGCTAGAGAAACTTAGTACAATCAAGTATCTACATTAGAAAGCTTCAAATGAATATGCCTGGAGCAGCCAAAAAACAAATCAATTGAAGAGGACTCAGCCTTTCTGCTCGGGGGAATAGCTGCACTATTCAGACTCCCTTTATTCTGTTGATGGAATGCTATCAGTTTTAAGTTTTGCTAGCATGGAAATGAATTCAACAAAGTTGTAACATTTAGCTTAATGAGACCATTTCTGGGCCCTTTGCTGTGAACAATGATTCAGAGGAGAACATCCTTTCCGTTAAACAGTGGTCTGCCTGGTATTTGGTAAAATAACAAATCATAAGTAAAGGGACCATCCATGACAGAATGGGCTAGAAAGGTTACCTGTGGCCGTGGGTGTCCCGTAACCAAACATTGCAGAACAAGGGTATCACCCTCCCGAATAGTGTACACTCGTTCACTGATGTTATCTTCCTTTACAACACATGCCTGTCCAGCATGGATGATCTGTGCCTGAGCAGGAGCTATGGAAGAAAAGCAAGAGTTAGGGAAGCCACTGTCCATCCGACTCATGTCTCCTCAGATGTGACTCTGTGTTTTCGCAGAGTTGCTGCTGGAGTCTTCCAAGTTTTCACAGACTGTGACAGACTCTAGGTTGACCGGTCCTTGTACAACGTGGCAACGTATGAACCTACCTTTCACTTTCTGACCACTAGTCCTAGCGCTGCCTGCTACCCGAGATCCCTTTTAAGGTAAAGATACCAGGAATCAAACATGGAAAGATTTACCAGGAATCAAACAAACTTTGTGTTTGTGAACACAAAGTATTTGCTTTACCATTCACAGGTTGCTGAATTGGGGCAGTTGTACAAAATAAAAGCAACTACAGCAAACAGAGAGAACAGACTTTTAATTAAGTATTGGGGTGGCCCAAGCAGAGCTGCAGGGTGAGTGCTTAAGCAAGCTTTGTCAATTTCACAATATAAAAGAAAGCCAAACAATAGTAGAAATGGCAGAATAAGGTTGACGACAGGCAATGGAAAATAAAACTGTCAAGGTAAATGCAAATAGGCACTCTTCAGTGTGAAGTGTGGTCATAGGGACACGTAGATTATGTGTTTCTAATGTGAGCCAAACAACAGCAAATGGCAGTAAAATGGGTGGTAATCATCCACCAAAATGATTGTTTGGAATAGCTCTTAATCTATATCCCCGTTCCGTTCTTTAATTTTGACACCTGTTCGCTATTTAAACAAAATGAGTTTTGAGGAAAGGCATGGGGACAACGATCTTAGGAGGTCTGACCACAAAATTACAGAAATATGATCACCCAATGCATGACAGAATCCCATAAAGCTCAATCCCTGTTCTACCAGATACAGTCATCACGTCCCCAAATAAGAAAATGCAGCACCATGTCATAGGCCTGTGTAGTGTGGGAGGCATCCAGTATAAAAAGGGGACACGCAGAATACCTAAACTGAGTTACTTCATTTAATCCTATTGATTTCAATGAGTTTGGACTGGACAATTTTGCATAGGATTGCACTATAAACAGAGTAATCCCAGTATTTTTAAAATTTAAATTATGCCTGTTGTACTTCATGTGCTGTTATATAAGTTGGTTTGTTATATATACTGGTGCTTTGTTTCCCACCTTCTAAAAAGAAAGGTACGATATAAATGTTTAATAAATAAAGACATGTGGTGAAATCAGTTGACGGCGTAATCTTAGATAATTAAAGTATGGATGATGGAAGATCTTCTAGGTACTCAAGCCTCTGAATCAAAACAGACTACCAGAGAAGGGGATGTGCTCCAATCCACCTCCACGTGGGGCCTGGAGTTCTCCTGGAAGTCTAGCTGATCTGTGCAGACTACAGAGATCAGTTGCTTTGGATCTATGGCATCACATCCCTGCTGAGCTGACTCCCCTTCCCTAACTTTGCCTTCCCAGACTCTGCCCCAAATCTCTAGGGATTTCCCCACCCAGAGTTAGCAACCCTAATCCTGCCATGTCCCCCTAGTAAGATCAGAACTGAGACTTATCTCTGGTGCCCTGCAGTAGAGTTGCAGCAGGACAGCATTTGATCTTTCCCCAGATGAAGCGTGCAGGGAAGAGATCACGCAGCCCTAGGAGCTGATTTCCTTACAGGAAACATATTTAGGAGCGAGCTTCTGTAGAAGGATCATGCTCAAGTTCCCCAGTGCCTGCTCTATTTTAAGAAGTCAATTCCCTGAAGTTTGCTAGGAATGAACATGCAGCCTGATCTCATCAGATCTCGGAAGCTAAGCAAAGTCGGCCTTGGTTAGTATTTGGGTGGGACACCATCAAGGAATACCAAGGTCCCTAGGCAGAAGCAGGGAATCGCAAACCACCTTGCCTTGAAAACCCTACACGGTTGCTGTAACTCAGCCGTAGCTTGACCGGGGTGTGTGTGTGTGTGTGTGTCTCACTCTACAGGAGTCTCAACCAGTGTCTACAAATAAGCGTCCAGGGAATTGTGTGTTATTTCCGGAATATAACTGCCTTGCAACACATGCACTTTAGTTGCTTATGCTCCCCAAAACCATGGTGGTTCTCTAGTGTGAAACAAGAGTTTGAAAGTGGAAAGAGGAGAATACTTCAATCTATCATGCTAGGAGGCACAATGGGGAGTCAATTGTCTCTATAAATTGGGGACCAATCTAGTTGCATGATTCTGCAATTACAAAAAGTCCCACACACCTTCAAAACTCATAAATATACTGTGGGATAAAAGCCTCCACGAGCCATAGCTATGGTTGCCAACTCCCAGGTTGGAGATCTCCCAGAATTACAACTGATCTCCAAACAGCAGAAATCAGTTCCCCTGGAGAAAATGGTTGTTTTGGAGGGTGCACTCTATGGCATTATAACCTGCTAAGTTCCCTTCCCCCCACCCCAGGCAACCGTAGACTTAGCCCCATTAACCAGCAGCATGTGTTACACATAAAAGTCATAGGTATGTTACTTTACACTGCAGAGCACATGGGAACAAGATCCAGTCAAAAGAGTAAATGAACCAATCAGGCTGATAAACTGCCAAGGATTAATAGTGCAGAATAAAACAATAAGAAGGGACAATTACTTTTTATATAAACTAGCCTCTGCAAGTTCTTATTGAGCCTAAGCTTGATAGCATCGAATCTATAGATGAATTCCAACTCAGTGACCTCAGACTTGACTTTCCCTTTGAAACTTAGTTGCTGAAGTATGGTAACCTCAATCTGTTACTGGTTGCCTAGGGAAGATGAAATTAGGGATGCTGTGAATTTGGCACAAATGTGTCTGTCGGGCGAACTTACCATATATTATGGGGAATGATTGTGGTGAGCTGAACGCAGGATTACATTGCTTGATTGCATCATTTAAAGACAGTACCTGGGATCTATAGGTCACAACCAGTGGTGTCTTGTTTCCTGCCTTGTGAGACCTGTCTTGTAGAATGAGAATCTTGTTATCAATATCCTACCTACCCAGTGTTCTGTACACACTATATAAACTAGCCAACCAACATATAAACGCTTTACTAAATTCTGTGTGTAAAAAGGCAGGCTATATTCAGAGTGTCTGTCAAATGAGACATGAGATGAGAACTGCTCTGCATTTTAATAACTAAGTAGCCTGTTCTAACAGGTGGAAATTTATGAATGGACAACCATTCTCCATGGATCATCACGCAATCGCTACACCGAAACTTCATTCCCCCCCCACGCACCTTTTTCTTTCCATCCGACTGGTGATTTACTGGCAGGATTATTCCACAAGTACTATCCAAACAGTTGTGGATTAATAGATTCAGTGTGTTTACTAGAACGCGTTTACAGCAAATATGCCAGCAAATATGCCAGAGCTCATCTCTGCCCATCCTTCCCTGCCTTCAACATCTGCAGAGACCTCCTGCTATTATGCTCACAAGAATTTCGGTTGTCATTAAAAAACAAACATGCCCAAGACAGAGTGCAAAGCTCCGTAGCTAGAGCAGAGCAGATGGGAGGCCTGCCCATCCCAGGAGGAAAAGGGATTACTGTTTACTAAGCAAGGCAGTAGTGGGAGGATGAAACATTTATATAAACCTAAAAAGGGGGATTTAAGGCTTGGGAAGCCAAAACTATGAGACAAGAAAGTCAGTATAGAATAGCTCCACTGTTCTACCCTGTCTGTATTCCCCTCTTAGCATCTGTTCCATAGTTAGAAGTCTGTGGTTGCCTCTTTGCCAGGGTCCAACTTGTTCCAGTTTCTGGGATTGAAGCTGCTTCGTCACAGGTTTTAGGGGGCCTTTTATATGGTTCAGTTACCATGCTGAGAGACCACCTTAAGTTATTCCATCTGACATCTGTTAATACACGGTGGAACATTCCAATACAGCAGCTCATCAAATAGCTCTGGTAATTTTCAGTGTCCCCCACATAACCATTTCCCCCCTTGTGGTATAGTGAAAATCTTCTGTCTTGTTCAATGAGCAATCACATGCAAACTCCTGCCACATGGTAACATCACCCACATAGCATGACCAAAAATGATCTTCGCATGGTGGTCCGACCATGTAACGATCCCGACTCACTGAGCTGGGCGCACATTCGTTTTGATCTTTGCGGCGGGGGTAACAGTGGACCAGGTTACTGCTTTGGCAGTCCCATGGTCGGGCCACCATGACCTGAGGGCCTGTTTGAATGTTCCGCCCCGACCCTGTTTAGGTGGCAAGCGTATTTTGGCTCGCCCATGGAGCCAGATGGACCCAGTGCGGCTCCAGATGGCCCTGCAGGATCCAATGCCCCCTGGCGGCTCATTGGATGAGCTTGTGGAGGACTGGCAGAGTCGGCTCTCCACAGTCATTGACGAGATCGCTCCCCGGCACCCTCAGGGCTCCCACACTAGGCTTGCTCCCTGGTTTACCCAGGAGTTGCGACTTATGAAGCGGGAGCTGAGACAGCTAGCGAGACGGTGGCGCTGTGCTCGAGACGAAGCAACAAGCACATCTTATAGGATGTTTATGAGATCCTATGAGATGGCAGTCAAAGCCACAAACAGGAAGTTCTATGCGGCTACGACTGCGTCCGTGAGCTCACGCCCAGCCCAATTGTTTAGAACAATTTGGTCTGTAACAGCTCTGCCACAGGGCAGACCAAACGCTAGGGAATTGGATATTGGCTGTGAGGCATTTGCGAGCTATTTCACCGATAAAGTCTTGGCGCTCCGCCACGACCTCCCCACCACAGTTGAAACAGTGAGCGAACTCGAGGCCCCTTGCATGTCTTCGATTTGGTTTTGGATTATTTCAGCCCGCTCAATCTAGAGGAAGTAGACAGATTGCTCACAATGGTGTGCCCAACCACATGCAGCCTTGATCCATGCCCTTCCTGGCTTATTAAATCTGGCCATGAAGGGTTCTGAGGTGCCCTTAGGGAAATTATCAACGTCCCTCTCTGAGGGGCAGATCCCGGAGGCGCTCAAGGAAGCGATGGTCCGCCTTCTTCTGAAAAAACCATCTCTGGGTCAGGC